CAATCCTTGCAGACGAGCGGAAAAAATATGCTCAAGTTTTTAAAGTCCTTGTTGAGAGAGAAAGAGAGAGAGAGAGAGAGAGAGAGAGAGAGAGAGAAAGATTGTTTCTGGTTTTCTTTTCTTTCATAATTTTCTTTTTGTTAAAAACTTCTTCTTCTGCTTCTGCTGCTGTTGCTGGCGGTAGTGGTGGTAGTGGTGGTGATGGGGGTAATGGGGGTTGTTATTATCAACGTCTAGGATTTGGATTATTTCGTACGATACTTTCTTTTTTTTTTCTTGAATTATTTCATATGATTAGATTTTCTTTTTTTTTTTGTATAGAAATTGAATTAAAAAATGATTCATCCATTCTTATAATTTGTCTAATTGTAAAACATTGTTTATACTTATTCAACTTTTCTGTTTTTTTTTTTGTATAATTTCATTTTGTCAGATTCACTTTCTACGTTTAAGAAAAGTATATGAAAATATTTTATAATTGAATTATTTCGAATGATCAATTATTATCATTTTTCTTCTTATTATTATAATTATTCAATGAAAATTCGAATGAATATAGATTGTAATATATAGGTTGGATCAATTTATTTAAAAAGTTGAAGACTAATGATAGTCGTGTCGGTTTTAGCATGGAAGAGAAAAGTCATACTATAAAGAGTTTATTGGCTACCTCCAACGGAAGTAGTGATTTCCCGAGCAAGTTGTTTAGAAACCAACACGATATTACTAACTTCAAACGGCTTCCTATCTCGAACTATCTTAAACTATCTCGAACGACGATCTAGTATAATATATAGTCCACCATTGCGAATTAAAAAACTTTTGTGTATGTGTGTGTGTTTGAAAAATGATTCTAATTCGAAATTTTAATCTTTAATCCGTTTAATGATTTGTTTTCTTTTTTTTTTTTTTCTTTTTATTGTATATTTTTTCTTACAAAACTTTTTTCTTCAACGCGTACGAAATATTATAAGAAATAATAATAATAATTTTTCTATCGCAAATTAATTCGATCGCGTTAACGTAATGTAAGCGAACGAAATTTGTCGTTAATTAAAAAATTGAAAAGAGATCGTAGAAAAATAAAATAACATGAAGTAGAATAAAAAAAATGTTCTATTTATTTTTCTTTTCTCGATGCTTCTCTTTCGATTTCGTGCTTCGTAAGAAGAGAAAATTTTCCAATTGATTTTATTATTTATTACAAGCTATTTATAGTGTATATACATATAATCATTAAGAACCTCAACAACGCCATTTTAGTTACTTCCGTTCTTAATAAAATCTATACTCTGTTTTCTACTCTCTTTCTTTATTTTACAATTAATTTCAATTCGAGAAAGTTATATAGAAAACAAAAGAAGTATATATATATATATCTTTTACCATTTTAACCAGAATAAACAAATAAAAAGGTAAATGAAAGTAAACATTTTCGATGATGATATAAAAATTTGAATAAAACCAATAAAAAAAAAGAAAAACTAATGGAAACTATTCAAAAACTGTTCAATTATATAATAATAAATAATAAATTTCACACAAAGACGCGATATTGCAAGATGCAATAGTTGAAATTAATTGAATAAATTTAACAATAAAATAAATATCGAAGAAAAAAAAATGAACGACGAAGAGAGTGACGAATAAAAACATTGATTGTATGAATAATTTGAATAAATGAAAAAACTAATGGAAAAATATTCAAATTGTTCAATAATAAATAATAAATGCAACATTTTTCACAAAGATATTCCATCACAGCAATAACAATTCAAATTAATTGAGATCTAAAAAGAAAGCTAGAAAAAAGAGGTAAATTAATAAAAAAAAAAAAAAATAAATAAATAAAAAGAAGAAAAATACAAAACAATAGTTTTGTGTGTCTGACGATTAAGCGTTTTACCTGGCGTACTCGTGGTAGCAATGGCGGCAGTGGTATAGGGTGGTTGAGCCATTTGAGAATGGCCGGCTGGTGTTTGCATATGTCGGCCATAACCGTTTTGCACCCCAAGCGTATGCTGTTGGGGATGCTGCGAAAGTATTCCATGAAGTAGACGTGCACCGGTAGTCGTACTCGCTGTACTCGCACTCGTCGAACCTGGTTCTGCTTTAACACTCGCCAAACTTAATTGTTCTTTTTCGTTTGTCGTCGTCTCGTGCGGTTGTACCTCCCTTGTGTCAACTAGAAAATACAAATCGACAAATCCTACTCGTCAGCCATTTTCCTTTTTATTTCTTTTAATTGTTTTATTTCAATTTAATATATGTATTAATTAATATATATTTATAATCGTTCGATTATAATTTATATTATTCAAATTAAAATACTAGAAACTAATAAAAAAAAAAAAAAATAACAAGAGTTTCGATCAACCAATGAAACGACGCGATTCTTATGGAATAGAAACAAACAAATATGGCGGATACGTGTTATTAAGAAATCAAATCAAACCGCTTCGTGGTTTATACCATATCCGATTCAACCCTGACACCGACAACAATTGCACAAAAATACGATAAATAAAAATAAAAATGATACGGGAATAAATTAAAACACAGTCTACCGAAGACAAATATGCCTAAAGGGGGATAGGTGATGGTGGTGGTGGTGGGTGGTGGGGGGATTTATGTCACAATCTGAATCACAATGTTAAACGTTTATAAACGCGACAAGAGAAGAGACGTGTAAACGGTCGCGTTAAAGCAGAGAGAAAAAAAAGAGAAAAAGAGAGAGAGATATGGGGGGAGAAAGAGAGAGAGAGAGAAAAAAAAGAAAGATAGAGTTAAAGTGTTCTCTCTCTCTCTCTCTTTCTTTCTGAAGGGGTATAGAGCGGTAGTGAGGAGAGGAAGTGAAAGCCGACGTCTCTCCTTGACCCACTGCAACGTTTCTACCTTCCTTTCAGGCAGTGCCAACCTCGCGGCTTCATTAAGCAATTTCTCGTAGCTCCTGGGGAAAAATCGGCATGGAAAAGCGTCCGAGTGAACGCATGCGTATGCTTACCACGCGAGCATGCGATCGAATTCGGATATTTAACGATTAATCATATTTATTTTATTATTTTTACTCTAATTATATATATAATATGATTATAATATAATAAAATCACAATATAT